CTCCCTGCCCATTCACAGTTTTTTCCTGACTCTAGAGCAGTCAGTGGGAGTTTTGCCAATTAATTTCAATAGGAGGAGAATCTGGGTTGGATTGAGGTTTCCTGCTTCTGCCGACAGCCACACAGATGCATTCCAGACCACTCTCAGGAAGGAAAAAAAGGGCAAATTCCCAATTACTGTGGCAACAGGAGGGATGGTTCTCTTTGCTATCATGTAATCTTAAAATTCAGTAGCTGTTTTGTGCCATGACATGTGTTTCTCTCCTCTGTCAAATTAATGTTTTCTTCCTATGAGGAAGGCCCATCAAGGAAAGAGCAAATAAGAAAACCATCAACACAAACAGCCCTCAGAAGCCTTTCCACATTTCCCACCTCACATCTATCATAATGGCAAAATGATGTTTGCAAACAACAAGGAAAAACTGCCTTAAACGTGTACTTACCAAAACACAGAGAATGAATTCAGCTTGCTCTGTGAACACCCCTCAACACGTGAGAGATGACTGGTAATAAACTGCCTCAGAAGAATGCCAAGACCTCTGCTATGGAGAGCATCAGCTAAAAGCTGCACAGATTGACTGACTCTGGCTGCATTTATCTTCCTTTCTTACCCTTTCCTCCACTAATGTCCTTGCTATTGTAGTCCCTGGACTTGTTGACCATTTCATTAAGGGCTGTAAACACCAAATGAGACTTGGAGCAAAGTTTGACAGCTTCAGGAAAGCAGTGGCATATACAAAATATGACTGATGATGCCCTAAGGACTGGCACAGGCAGTCAAACCAAATTAGGATGCAAGTGAATTTTGCTTCCTTTCTACTTTGTGTTCTCTGTTTTACAGGAGGCAATTCCCATGCTGACAGGGAAGCAGCCCTCTCTACAGACTAAGATGACAGTAAAACCTGGCTCTGCAGCTAAGGACAGAAAAGAGACTAGAGACATATGTTCTCTGTGTTTGGGATGACTCAGTTTAGGTATACTAGCTGGGTCAGAGCCCAGATGGTGTAAACTGCTGAATCTCAGAGTTTACATTAGCTGAAACTCTAGTTTAATAAATAATTTTTAATCAAACTTCTAAACTTTTCTGGTATTTTTTCTGAAAAACAAAGAAAACCAAAAACTACAAACAACCTCCAAGGGAAAACTAAGAAAGCAAAAACTGATGTGACTTCTTTAAAGTAATGGTGTGAGTTACTGTCAGAGTTCAGGCAGCAGTTCACATCTCCTGAGCGTCAATACAGTATAACTGATGTAAAAGCAACCTCTGAAGTTTACTGAGCTAAACCAGCAACTTAAGGAGGTCTGAACTGCCCCATGCACTTCAGTGATTATTTTCTGAAAGGCACAGTGTTGATACCTTAAATATCAACATTATTTATTAATTAATCACTGAAAAAACTGTGTTGGACAGGAGTAGTAACACTTCTGTGGAGTTCAGGAGGTATAATGGAGACAGGAGGCAGTAAGCTTTGAAGAGCATTTGAGAGAAAAACACTCTGAAGGTGCATATGAGGCAACCGAGCTGTTTCAGCAAGAGCTAAACACAAGACAAGGAAGACATTGGAGCCTTGGCAATGCAAGCTCAGCACTGCTAGTAGGTGAGATTCAAATGTCTTGGGGGCACTCATGTCAAAGGGATTCCTGAGGGAATTTACAACTGTGCCATCTGTCCCTTATACTTGGAGCTTATTTTGGAAGAGAATTAATACCATCTTTCTTCCTCAGTTTAACTCTACTGGTGATTGACTGCTGGCATGAGTGCCCAAACATTCAACGCAGTAGATAACACATCAAAAAAACACCAATCAAAACCAAACAAAACACTCTGTCACTTACTCATGGTACCTTTTCTGTGTTATTATCTGAACCTGAAGCCATTAAGGAAAGGAGCTCTACCTCTCGGTTTGATTTTGTTACACAGTGTTCATTCAACCCATTTTTTAGCAGATTTCTCAAGACCCAAGAGCAGTACAACTGCAATGTGACTCAGCTACAGGAGAACTGGCAGGCCTTGTCAGAGCTGGTTAATAAACTAGTCTCCAGTACCCGACTGAGTTGAGATGGTTCTGTAGAAGGTATATTCATAGGCAGTAGGATAAGCAAGATGTGCATTCACATCAATAGGTACAGTAAGTATACCAGGAGTTTCCCATTCAACATACATGACAGATAAGCATATCAACCAATTAAGTGAGTATGACATCTTATTAGAAGATGTTTGCAAGCTCTTTGTCTTCGCAAATACATTCCCTCCTGTTGTGTGAGTAAAGATTGAAATTCAGGAATATCAAGAAATATAACGGAGTTTAAGCAATAAACTGTAATTGTGCAAAAGTACATAGAACAGCCTACAGGAAAATACGAACGTGATTTAAGAAATACAAAAGGGCAGTTCGTAAGCTCCACAACTATGCTAAGTGAAGGAATGTATCCAAGTATTTTACTGGCTTTGGGGGGGAATGGGAAGTGTTGCTCTCTACCTTCTCTACCCAGAGGCCATGTGTTTCCTTACTAGAGCTTGTCAGCACAGAGAGCCTTTAGTTTCATGGTTGGAAAAGCCTGTGGTGGGGAGACACTGGATAATACACCAAAGCTAGAAGTATAAATTTGGCATTCAGAGATGCATGCCACAGGTGCCAAGAAGAATACTGCTATCAGAGCCTGCATTAAATGGAGCACATATGTCAGAAGAACAAGCAAAAAACTTCATGGAGTGACCTGTTCGCTTGGTCTCTGCTATTATCTTGTGCAGAGACTTTTGTTCACATGACTACTGTCCCCAGCACATGTTCAAAATCAGTGAACAGCCTTCCTTTGCATCCTGAGCAATTAATCTCAACAGAGGTGTAATTCTACTGTTTAGCACTCTGCACTGCAAACATCTGTTCCCAAACCTGGTCTGTCATGTAACAAAAACGGATAATGTGACCCAAAGCCACAACGTCACAGAGATCATGTTGTGTGCAAGGGAATGGCCAGCAGCCGCTGCCCTTAGACCTGACACTTGGAACCAACGGCATTGAAGACTCTCTATTCATTAATAGTTTGGAAAAGAAACGGGTAACAAATTAGTTTACTAATTGTATGCAATTCTGTCATTAATAGCCACTTGTCAGAAACTCCAGACAACTTGTTGGATATAAGAGGATTAATTTCTATAAACTGTGGCTTAAAAACTCACATTATTAAACCAAAGAGGAAGAACTGAAAGCAAGCTGAAGATATGCTATCTCTCAGTTCTTAATATCACCACCCATAAAAGGAGCTTATCAGCTCAAATGTGGATTGACTCCACTCCACAGCAGGTGCAATGAATCTACACGTTGCACATTCCACACCTCTTCTACAAAAACAGCATTATTTTTGTGTTAATTTAAAAAGAAAAACTTCAGATCTGCTAGTAAGCAAGGCAAGTTCTCATTACCCTACTTTACCACTATGGCCACACATTCCTTTTGCAGGCAAGTCTCTAAAGAGGAAATGTGATAAACTTTATCCAATCCACTGAAGTCAAGGGAAAATCTCCTGGTGGCTTCATTGGAGATGTGTGCAACCCAGTCATTGGCTTCCCCACTCAGATGTTGTATAAGTATACTAACCAGAGCCCACTATGGTAGTAGTTTTTTGTTTTTTTTTCTTTTTTATTTTTTTACTATAGGGAATTCTGTCTACAAATTAATTTGGATCATCAGACATCACCTTCCATTTGCTGCCTCAGAGCAGCAAATATTGGCCAAGAATAATAAATTAATTTTTGAGTGATTACTGAGGTAATGAAGGTTATGAAGACACAAGCACAAAAATAAAAATAACCTGATTTGGGGAAACTCTGAGAAAAAGTCACCTTGATGACTACTTCAAGTCCAAATACCTCAGTATTATGGGTATAACCTTATATTAATTAAGTTATATTTTTTTTTTTCTGAAAGAACGTTAATGTTCTGGCAGCAATGGGGAGTAGTGCTTAGTGCCCAAGAGATCATGAGCATCTGATGCATACCTTGCTTTACTCTGCAAGCACAAGTTTCCCATACCCAATTTTCTTACTAGAATATATGTTTCTGCTTCGATCATCTCATGGATTTTGCTTGTTTGGTAGGAAGGGTGATATTCAGGGAAATGTTTAATGTCTTCTCTTCCAAAATCAAACTAGAAAAATGACCATGTCCATAATGAAAGCAAAGAGTACAGACAGTGTCCATTAACTGTATAACTGTCTATAGGTTCCAAGTCTGACATTTCCCAAGTGCATGACCTGCAGTGATAACTGTTTCTAATAGCTGTTTCTGAAGTGTTACACAGTGTGTGTTGGTAAAAGGAGGTGGAAGAAGAAAATTCAGTGAAGGTAATGAAATGTAGGGAATCACTGCTTTCCTCAAGCCATTCCATCTTCAGGATTTCCAATAAGAAGAGACAGTTGGTGAATTCCCACTTTGTGCAAACATCTTTTCAACTCCAGAACATAAAAATAAAAGCTAATTCCCTTACAGTTCCTGCCTGGCAAAACCAAACACAATTCCAGTGATTTCAATGGAGTTAAAGATGGCCCACTTGCTGTACAGCAGGGTTTATTTGGCCCTTCTCCCATACAGTAGCACTGCTTTGCCTAGAAACCTTTGCTTTCAAAGTAATTAACCCTGTGTAAACTGCCTGTAACACTGAACTGCAGTCAAATAGAGAAATAGGAGACAGATTCATCTTTTAAAACTTATCTCAATAGTGAACTTTAACAGCAAGTATTGATCTTTTTCTGTCAAACATCAGGAACTTATGTCAGTATCACAGACAAGAAACAGGATCTGCAGAACAGTATCAATTATTGTACACATACTTCTCCCTTCCACAGTTTCCAACAGGCTGGAATCATATACTGGAATCATGTATAAACATAGTGAGAGTCCTGTACTTCCTTATAAGCGATCTCAGCACCACAACAGGTGGAAACGTGTTCTCTTGCTAAAAACACAGAGGGGGAGAGACAGACAGAAGAAAATTGCTTACTGTTTCGAGGCTTCTCCTCATCCATGCCTTCATCTTCATTTTCTGGGTCAATATCTTCTGCCTGAGTTATCCAGTCTAAGTATCCCTTCAAATCCTCTTCTAGCTGTTGTTTTTCCCGTAACTTCTGGAAATCGCCCCGAGCTTTAGCCTTCTCTCTTTCTTTGGAAAACTCCCTAGCAATAGGGAGGAAGGGGCAGGACATAGGTAGAGGGAAGGAAGAAATTAAAAAACAGTGTGTTAGATTGATTTCCACTAAAAAGTCTCCATATCCTGTGTAGCACACCCAGCTTTCTTTATTCTTTAAAGACAGACACATGAATGCAGTATCCTTGCTAGATACACATGTAAAACAGCTAGAGTGTCCACATTTGGGAAAGAGGTATACCTGGTTTTAATCCTTCCATTCTCAACATTTGATTGACAATTAAAATAAAACACATACGTAACATTTATGTACAATACCATATACTTTCTAATACTCTTCACCACTTGATATTCTCAGTTGTCCATAAATATCTATATGAATAATGGTTAATTTAATTCAATGATGAACTGCCTGACAATAATCTGACATCTGGAGAGTGATATGGTGGCTCTAATTTTTAACCAGGTTTCAATCTATCTTTAGATTCTATATGTAATCACAACTAAATTGGGCTAATTGTAAGTGTAATTAACAGTACTCACAATTCTGTACACATTTAATTATGGGCAATTTCAACCACAGTCCTGAACAACATGTTTAAAAACTCAGACCTCAATGTTTTGCTGCAGACTTTCAGTACTCAGGGCTATTATCTGACATGAAACATATTTTTCAAATATCAACCTGGGTAGGCAAACATGATAAATTATGGGTAGGCAAAACCAACAGATTCTACCAGAAAGTGAAGAAGGATAGACTTTCATAGGTTTGTGAAAGACCGCTACTGCAAATATAGGCTTAAAACACAGGGTATAAGAACAAGAGTTTCATGCTGCTTAGTTATGAACCTGGGTGCTTTGGCTTATTTTTGGCTGTGATGCTCTTTCTTCCTCTCTTCCAGAGACACCTATACTGCATTATTTTTTTTCTAGGAATACTGACCTACCTCTCTTTAGAGACTCTTCTGTGGTTCTAATCCAGGTTTTCATGCTTGTATTTCAAAAAATAAGCTTGATGTTTGTGAAATGTGCTGGACCAAAAGTACTTAAGTATTAAGTCTTTTATCTGCTGAAGCAGATCACCACGTAAGGCACACACAGCAGGTAACATGGCCCACTGTTTCTAGAAATGAGAGATAAAGTCATTCTTTCCAATGCATTGTCCATTGCCATTGCTGATGACTGTCAGCAACAAATGAATAAAATAAAAAAAATGTTCACCTAATATTTTTCTTAGGTTTGCTCCTGAATAAACAAATAGAAAATGTAACAGTTTGGTGGAACAATATTAGGATGATGAAAACCTATCCCAAAATGTTAATGAGTGCTATGTGAAGTGTCCTCAAGCAACTGAGATAGACATGAGTTTCTAACAGTGATGGTGAAGTACTTTCCTCCTGTCTGGTCTAAAACCCACTGAAAGATTTCCATTGACTTCACAGGCTTTAGATCATGTTTCAGTATTATGAACTGTGCACAAAACCAGCAGTGCACCAGAACAAAAGTAGGATAATGCCTTCACTTCAAGCCAAAGAATGTGACAAAGTATGTATGTGTGACCTTCACCCCTGACACACTGCTGAGGGTTCAGCCCATCCCCATGGGACTGCAATAATGAAGGTGGAAATGAGGAAGAGACGTGTTGAATCACAATCAACCCTGTGACCAAACTTAGCCATAAGGCAGAATCAGTTATTGCAAGCATAGCAAGGATGAAAAAAAATCAATTTTTCTCATGCTGGGGGTGATATTTTACTATTTAAAACCTAAAACAAACAACCCCCTAACAATAAGGTCACGTTGGACAGAGTATTTAGCATCCTGGTCTAGTGAAAGGTGTTCCTGCCCATAGCAAAGGGTTGGAACTAGATATCTTTAAGGTCCCTTCCAACCCAAGCCATTCTGTGATTCTAATATTCTATAAATAATAACAAAAACTCCACAAAGAATTTTAGAAAAATTCAATCAATTGCAGTTATATTTTCTGCTTCAATAACATCTTTCTTCTGTGTTTGACACAGTGCCATATTCAAATTAATAAATTAACTCTCAAAAAAGAATGGACTGAAAAAAGTTTTTATTACTAAGCCTATTCGATAAATGAAATCCCAGTATTTCAATTGTTGACCCCTAAACTGGTATTTTACAGCCTAACACAAATGGATCCAATTTTGAAAGGGGCTGAGCTTTCAACTCCAAGGGAGGACTATTTATATTTGCATGGATATAACTTGCAATGGGCTGGTTTAGAAACAAAAGTGGAAAACATCACAGAACAGCCCAGCTTACAGAAACTACAATTCCTACTGTGCACCAAAGTGGATTGTTTATTAGATGCACCTAAGCTGCATGCCTACCTGGGTCTTTTCAGTCCCCTCTTACTGTCTCTCTCAAATGGGACTCAGGCTGGGGGGAGAGCTGACTAAATCAATGGGAGATTTTAGCATGATGTCTTTACACTGACCAACTGCATAGGAGTGAATGTGTTACCTAGCTTTTTAATGGCAAAACTGAAAATACTGTGATTGCCTAGTCTAAATGATCTGCAATTGCATGCCTCTTTCCTTTGTACAATGTATGATACTCCAGATCTCAGAAGACACTCCAAAGAAGACAACTTATTTAAGTACCTTAATTTCTATGCTTTACTAACATTAAACCATTGAGAACAGTTGTCTCAGGAAATTACTAATGCAATTCAAACCACCTCCCATGTGGAATGCTAGCCTGTACTCACGCAAATGTAGTTCACTATCAAGAATTACTATCAATGATAATTTACCATCCCATGTGAAATGAGTTGGTGACCTCAGTCCAGTTCCTATTGCAGGCAGGTGTGCACGTTATATCTGCCACCATCACAGTTGGCAATAAATAGTCCTTGTTTGCAGTTTCAGCAGGGAGGCCAAGGACCAAGTAAGTTATCTGATGGAAGTGCCACCTTGAGTCTGGAGGCGACCTTCTCAAAAAAGATTGGGCTATCATGTCAGGATTAGGTTGACAAAGGCTTGCAGAACTACTGAGCAATCTGTTGTTTTTTCAGTGAACAAGAGAACATCAGTTTAAGAGTGGGTGAATCTGGTTGTTTTTACCAGAATTCAGTTTGCTTCACTTCTCCCAGAAATTATAAGATACATCTGCCAATGGGAATACAAAAAAGCAGAGCATTCTGGAGAGATGTTGGCTTTAAACTTAAACAGGGGAACTTTAGATTAGATGTAAAGAAGAAGTTCTTCACAGTGAGGGTGGTGAGGCACTGGAACAGGTTGCCCAAGGAAGTTGTGAATGCCCAACCCTGGAGGTGTTTCAAGGCAAGGCTGGACAGAGCCTTGGGTGACATAGTTTAGTGTGTGGTGTCCCTGCAGGGGGGTTGGAACTAGATGATCTTACGGTCCTTTCCAACCCTAACTATTCTATGATTCTATGATTCTGTGTGAGGTTAGAGTAGGTCAATATCATAAATCTGAACACCCAGCTCTTTATACTGTACTGTTCCAGAAGAAAATTTCTCCTGCACATCCTAATGATGGAATAGAAGTAATTCTTGTCTATATCTGATCTCAATATGATTTCTCACATTTAGAGGAATAAAAGAAAGTGAGCAAACCAGCAGAATCCTAGCAGTTCAAGACTCTTGCTTACTAATAAAGGTGTAGCACAAGGCTTCAAGCCTCATCCACCCTGAGAAGTACACCAAGGAGTGGGAAGGGTTGGAAGAGGGGACAGAAGACTAGGGAAAAGTCCTGAAAGGTCACAAAAAACTGCTCCAGAAAGAGCTAAAATTATAGCCAGCCTCCCATTCACTCTGACCTCTTCCTTGGCAGTAAGAACATCAAAAGCAGTCAACTGAGTTTTCCAGGATCCTCTTAAAGAAGAAGAAACGTCTGTTCTCTAGCCCTTCGCTTGCCTTAGGCAACTGCTTATTTGGCCTGTGTCCTGGGATTTGGATCACTGCTAGACAAAATATAAAAGAAATGTGAATCTATATGCTCAGGTGTGCAGCCATTTTTTTCCCTCACTAATTGACTGAAACTGATAACACGTGATCAAGAGACCTCTATGAGGGGCTTCACTGCTCTCAGCAATGATGTGGAATCCTTTTGCCTGGGCTTGTGGTGGTCTACTGTGTGTTTTGCTGACTGGATATTTTCTTTGGAATACATGAATTTTATATTATGCTCAGTCAAGAGAGGAAGAGGATTATAGCTCCACACGTGAATACTCTGTCATACTGTTTAGCTTAGCATGTGTGACTAGTAAATTTACCAGAAGGACCATGAATGGATGACATACCTGAGAAAAAACAAATTACAAATGAGTTCAAATGAGTTCTTTAAGCAGAGCAGAACTCAGCATTCAATTTCACAGGTTCAATCAAGGTGTCTTTGTGAGTACAATTAATTACACTTACGTATTCAGACATGATTACAAAAAGTAAGTTAATCTGTCATTGATGAAGCCTACCTACATGACATGCTTAGTGAAGTTCCTGAAATAGATAAATAGGAAGAAATCAGAGATGCCCAGAATGGATATAAAAAGATGCCTGAGAATGCTGCTTTCTATCTAACATAGGACAGGTGGATCACCTACATAGATCAGAATAATAGCAATAGCAAGTCTAAAAAAAAGCTGAATCTGCAAAGTGAACACTCTTTGCAACGCAGCAGAGTTTAGAACTGCTTTAGAAAGTTAATTGTTTAAGAACTGTTTATTTAGCCCAAAGAGAATTTAGAACATTTCTCCCATAATTTCTGTGTTTTTTTCACAGAAGCAAACTCTTTTTACTTTTTCTCCAGTTGGGAAAATTGTTGCAGAAACAGTGCAGCTGTCATTACACTGTGAACACAGCCAGAAAAGAGTGATTCACATCTTAAACAAGGTGAATTTCATCTTTGATTTCAGTTCTCTCTACAGATTGTTACTATGTCTTACCACTAACTGGGGTGGTCTACCTGCAGTATGTCAGGAGGTGGAAGATCCAGGCCCCAAAACACTTGAGTTGAAAAACAAGAGAGAGGAAATTCAATTTTCAATTACATACAGAGACAAATCCAAGTGTAGGTAAATTGAATCAGCAGTGCTCCAACAGTATGCACTCCTCAGGGCTGGGCTCACAGGCACTGTTTATCCAATCAGATACTATATAATCTTCAACCACTGTCTTATATGGTCCTTGAGTGCACCTCTAATACAGCTGATCATTTTTCCTCTGTCAGCTGGTTATCATCCTCCACTACGGCTGACATCCTTACCCACTGATCAGAGTATCCACTGGGAGAAACGCTTTAAAATTGTACTCAGAGTATCACTCTCCAGACTATCCAAAACCAGACTATTGTCTGACACTTCATTATTGGTTTTTTTCCCCACTCCCATTATTGCTTGGAAACCTTCTCTTTGCAGTAGCTTAGCGGCATGTCTCCTTCAGTGGAGTAATGAAGATAGTAGTAATACCTCATGTAGATCTACTATTACCTGTCTCTTTGCAGGATGGCCAATGGTGGATCATCTTCTCCAGTTCCACTACTGCCCTTCCTATGTTGTTGGCCCAACAGGCACTGAGGACATAATTTTTGTGAGGCATCAAGTCCTCTTTCCTGCTCAGAGATCATTTTCCCTCTCTTATGATCAAAAGACAAGGGACTTCAGGGCTGCCCACACAGGCAGCAGGTACAGGCTCTGACCACGTTCATTTAGAGCTCATTAAAGGCAGCAGGATGTTGGGAACAAAGAAGAAGAGGACACATAAAAGTCCTCATACCATATTTATCCATGTACATAGAATGGCTGTAGGCACCCAGGCATGCCCAAATATGGAATTAGAGGCCTAATTCTAGGAGATCTTTTTATAAAAATCTTGCGAGTAATGTTTGCTGGCTTGATTCCTCTAATTATGTGGCTCCCCAGGGGCAGTAAAGTTTGTAACTACTAGGGACAATATCAATTGTTTTTAATCAAAGTTACTAAAATGATGCTTTGCAGTGAGGGTTACACTGCAGAACTGAAATACAGCTAAATGTCTAGATGTCTTAGGAATGCTTAAACAGTAGAAAGATTTCTCCCACTTCTCTGTTCATCCTTAGAAAAGGTCAGAGGGAAATTATCTTTTCTCCCTGAATCATGCTAGGCTTGTAACTGCACAATAGAGAAGATGTGTTTAATTGAAGAAGTGTGTCCAAGACACTGTCCTGGGAAAACATTCTCCCATTAGGCTGTGCTTTAGAGACACTAAGCAATATGAACATTCCTCATGTGAGAAGATACAATTTAGCAGGAATCTTATCCCACAAATGTGAAGGGATTTGTCTCATGCTCTCATTCCTCCTTCAGTCCCACTGATTCTTCCAGAAATTTTACTATAATCCCCTTCTTCTATGGTGAATGCTGTGCTTCACCCACAGGGGAGCATAGCACTGTCCTCTTCCCACAGAGTACAGGTGGAGATTTTAGGTAGAGGAACATGTTACAGGCAAAGAGTTGTCTTGTATCCCTTCCATTTAGTCAAACGACTCCTTCCATGCCGGTAGGAATGCTGTATTTTGCAACTGGTGCAGCAGTAGTCTAGGCCTTCTATTAAGGTTCCTGAGATCAACCCGCCACTGCCCATTGTTTTGGTAATCAGAGAGTAGGAGTAGAAATACAAATTAAAAAAAATAAACAATAATAAAACATTTTCCTCATACTGCTTACCCGCTAAGTACACCGAGAACCAAGTTAAGTACAAAAAATGACCCTATGATGATTAGTGTAACAAAATAGATCCAGGGCCAGTCCCTTCCTATGGCATCATTGACCTGGAAGAGTGGAATGATAATTAGTGAGACAAGCTCAGATTCTGAGCACTGCAAGGCTCCAGCCAAAGAGATCCCAAGTCACCAGCAGTTAAGATTTTCAATAGCCAGTTTTCTGGAAATTTATGACAGGTTGACATTACCGATTTTGAATGCCCTGAGATCGAATTTCTTTGCCAGAGAATAACAACTCTTTTGTTACCTGTATTGTTATTTGCAATGTTTGAACATTTTGTCAAAATGTTTGAGAGCTGATGGGAAGCTTCCTTGGATTCAGATTTTTAATCCCTCTGAAAGAATCCTGGTGACAGGGAAGAGCCCTTATTATGGAGTCTTGCCCTGTAGCATTGGAAAAAGGACACCAAAACTGTCAGCTTACCCGCTCAATACACCAAGAACCAGATTTAGAACGAAAAAGGATCCAAAGATGACCAGACTGACAAAATACACCCATGGTAACTCATAGCCCATAGCGTCCTGCATCTGGAAAGACGAAGGAAAGTTAGAAGACAGAGAGGGAAAGCAGAAATGATTAGGCAAAGGAACAGATGGAAAGGTTTGTAAACAGAGCCTGTGGTTGGTTTACACATAATCATAGCATGTGTTTCTGTATGTTGTCTCTGACATGACCCCTCCTTTGATTGCTTTTTTCCTCTAGCTGTTTCCTTACACGCAGTGATTAATACAGGCTGAGATATAACCACGTACCATACTGGCACTTCCTTAAATGTACGGACTGTCACTTTCTGGAGTTTACTTACAATACCACAAGGGTCCATCCGATGATTTCTAAACTCCTAAACCACTGCGCATTCATAAGACCATTTGCTGCCAGTGAAACTATTGCTAGTTTTTGCTAAGTATTGCCACAGTGTGTTGTCAGATCATGTTTACTTCCCATGTACCTCAGAGAAAGCATGTGGTAACTGTGGGCAAATTTCCCTGACAATGCTCTGGTAATCTCATACTTTACCACAGTGAGGGTGGTAGCAGTATGCTTTTGAGGAAGGACCCTTCAAGGCTCACCGTATTCTAACCTGGTCAAGTGTTTTCTAAAGCCTTCTCACAACCTTTCTTTATCTCCTTAAAGGACGAATCTCTCATTCAAAATTTGATTCCTACAACTGAATACTCAGAGAATTTGAGACTGTAAACTGAATGACATGAGCATAGGTCTGGCTTTTACAGTACTACAAGCACCTGCAAATGAATTGGGCAGACTACTGCTTTAGCGCCAGAATCTGTACTATGTGTAGAGCAAATCTATCGCATAGTAAGATACTGCATATATTCTAAATGTATCTGCACAAAGACACAATTTAACTTGAAGTCTTCTTCAAAGTTCAAAAGTTTGGAAAGCTGTTGGGTACCTTAATAGAATCTCACTTGCATGACAGTATCAAAATATCAGAGTCCTTTCTTCCTTACTTTTTATAAACACTTATCGCCTGAGCCAGACATAGCATCACTAAAGAAACAGATGGTGGTTAACGTTTTCAGGAGCACTAAAATGATTGATGAATGTAAATTGCAGACTTGCAAGTACCTAAAGGCATAAAGCATCTTAGGTTCCTTTGTTTTCCATGCTTTTGAAAATTTTATCGTACGTTGTCCTCTCCTCCACAACCTAAGCATTTGTTGTGATCACAGAAGAAATATTTTTCCATACATGGGCACTGAGACACACTTCAGGGAAGGCGATCTGATTCAAGATTTGTAACAACTCAGGAAAGGAATTTCAGACCTTCAGTAAGACAAGGCAAGAAAGGAACACTAATACAATCAGTTATTTGTGGATGAAAGCCCATTACCCATTTTTCTTTCAAAGTACAGTCACTAAGGTCCTTGTCTGGCAAGAGTCCACAGTCAATGGGCCAGTCCAGAAGTCTATCTCAGGGCCCCTTCAGCTGCAACTGAAGCAGACTCACTAAAAAATAAACTCAAAATCTGCCTGCATGAAAACAGTTCATCAGGTCCTTCCTAACATGATTAGTATGTTTGGTGGTCAGAAGAAAGTACCTGAACAACTAACATTCCCAAAACAGCTTCCCTTTTAACACTTTTGTTCAGTTAGTTTACAAATAATACTAATTATTCTTTGTGTTTGCAAACCACACTTCATCCCACATGACAAAAAAGTAGACACCTCTGGTGTGAAACACATCAGTGCTTTAGAGAGAACAAAAAATCATGGCATATAAAGATGGAAGCAAATATTCACCTGAAATCACAGTGGAAAAATCAGGCAGGCAAAATGTAGCTGCCAAAGCTAGAATTAGGTAAAGAAATGAGACTTAATATTCTCTCTCTTCTACAAAGAACAGGACTGTAAAGCAATCCACACAAAAAATGAGCATGGATGATTTTGAAAAACTACCATAAGAATTTACCAATGCAGGCACAATGATGACTCCACTTCCCTCTAATTATGACAGATAGTGATAAAAAAGCCTCATCTGTCTGGCATTTATCTTTAGACAGGTTTTTTTGTTTTTGTCAGCTGGGAAAGATAGCTGGAAAAGTAAAACTTAAAGCTGGGGTACAAGTGAATCCTAAATCGCAGACACCAGGGTGCTGGGTACAGAATTCAGGTGCATATCAGGGTGCCTTTCATGTTACTCTGGCATAAAGAAATTTCCAGATGGCAAGAAGCTTCCATTGTGGCCTGATAAAGTATAGAATCAGCGTATAGTGTACTCTGGTTATTTGCAATGCCTGCACAATTACATAACAATTGCACCAGCTAGCACCAGCACAAATTAATCCTGAAAAATAGACCTGCATTCTGGTACAGCAAAGTATTTGGGACTTCTCAGACTGAACATTTAGGAGGTCAGCTTTTCATCTCCTTTTTATTGCCCAGTTGTATATGTAACAGAGAAGCTGAGAGGCAGAGACAGTGATAGCTTCTCAAGTGTGGAGAAACCATCAGTATTTGGCAGTCTGTCTCTCTCTTGCTGTACTCCCTACGTTTGGTGTGTTTGGTGCTCTCATGTCTCATTTTCTTTAGTAGAAGTTGAGATTATTCTATACATTGTGAGACTGAGCCACAGATGACAGAAATGTATGTTATATGTTGATATAACATTAGGTATTTGGTAAATTATTTTTAAAACCCCCTTTGATAAAGAGATGATACACTGTGAGCTTACTATTTGCTCTTGGAAAACATCTCCAGGAGAAATGCAGAAATACAGGCTGCTTGGCAGAAGTTTGGCGGGGGGGGGAAGGGGTAGACTTACTCAAAACAGGAACAGCAATATATCAACATTTAAGAAACATTAAATTCTTGTCTGAGATTGTATCCTTCCAAATACCTGGAAATGTTTCCCCCCAAATGGAAGTATCCTAGAAGCCATGGGTAGACTGTTCTCAACAAGCACAATGCTCCCATACAGTTAGCAGTAAAAACCTGGCACCTGTGTTCAAGTGAAACTGCTTCCTGGAAACTTATAATTCTGTGAATATGTAGCTATTAATCGTGTGCGTATGAATACACATGTCCTGTTGACTGCAGCTGGAAGCTTTCATGTCAAGTGTAACTTTGGTGGTAGAGCTGTTTTTATCTAATTATGCTGTTGAAGTGGAGAAACTGCAGAAGGTCACAACAAGATCAGAAGAAGTGTTGCCATTTGTACACTACTGAGTGCAGAAAATAAGGTCTGCAAAATATATTTTGCACTGCTGTCTACAGTGAACAGAAAATGGCTTGGTTACCTCTCTAGGAAGGACAGTACAACTCAGGACACACAGTTCATCTCTCTGGTCATTGAATGCCTTTCTTCTTCCTGAGTGTTTACTATCAACCATATGAACCTCAACAGACAAGGTGGATTATATTCTAAATTTACAGTTCTGAACAAGACTATCAGCCACTGTAGGTCTGAATTATAATATTCTAGCTACAGTAGTCAAGGTGACTGCAACCTGATTAAGCACATATAGTACAACTGTTAGGTCAGTGGGAAGCACAGCATTGATGGGAATCTGCAAATTGTCATTTAAAGAAATAATTCTGCTTTCTGAGTCAAACTGCCTAACCTTTCACAGTTCACATCTCATCACTCATATCTCACTACTCTCAAGAGTGAGAAAGTTGGTACATTTCTGAACATTGATGCATCATCTCTCAGAAACCTCAGAGATAAGGATTTTAGATCCCTTCTCATGATTTGCTACATACCCTCTCTGGGTATAGGGACATCATTTTGACTTGCCATGCTTCAGCTTTCCAATCTGCAAAGTGGGATACAACCTTGCCTCACTGTGTACTGTCAATGAAACCACTCAGCATCATGACTAAAAGAGGGTATTTCAGCATATTTGAGGTCTGATGGACATTGTCTACTGGGGAAGAGCTTTTCCTTAATTAAGAATCCTTAATTGCTACCACGGCTATGTCATTTCAACACCCAGTTGAAGGCTTCTCTCTCAATGATATAAATAATCTCCTAGAAATGACGCCAGGATTTTTAATTCTGTATCTTACTGATCACAATAAGAACCAGTAGTTTCAGTAGGGGCCAAGGAATAAAAGTCTGTTTATGCCTTTGTGCCTATGCCTTATGGTTCTTCAGAAGACACAGGTGAAAGTCGTATTGGTAAAGCCACAGGAGATATGCATACTTTACTTGTTTACAAGTTTAGGTTTTGTTTTTCCCCAGGGATAATAGTCTGGCACATTTTGCAAGTATCTCATTTATTACACAGACATCATAGCTCAAAGAAAATATCACAGGCATGTTATCTATTAAAACGATGGCTGAGCATCACCAAGCACATATTGGAGGTCTTTCAGTCACTTAATGGGAGGGGTAGACACAATTCACTGACTTTAAAGTTCACATATCTATACCCTGACACTTTGTACCAAATATCTTCCATAAATAACTGAAAGTTAGAGGAAAAGTTTAATGCACCAGAGAAGGGCAGCTGTCACTGAAAAGTAGCAAGCTGAACTAACAAAAAGTCAAGTCTGTTTGTTTAGTGCACAGTACTGGAGAGCTGCAGCTTAATGGCAACTAAGTTAGCTAGGACACCAGGGCTACAGTCCTATTTCTTGAATAAATTGCTAATTGATTTCTAACGACTGTGGAATGTTATGATAGTCTTTTTCAAATATAGGTCAAGTGCCTCAAGTATTCTATAATGAAGTGTATAACCTTTCACAGAGTAACAATAATCAAGAGAAGGATGAGTACTCAACAAAATTAAAGGGCAGTAAATGTGGAAATTTTGTGTAGAAATGCTATTTTATGCAGCCTATCTGTGGAATTCACTGCCTCAGGAAATAATCTAGCCAAATGTAATGATTATGGCCAATGGCAAGATCTCTAGTTTGAGTCAAGTCTTTCTTGTAACAGTATAAAATTGGAGAATACTGGGAGCAGGAGATATTAGAAAGAAAAGGTAACAATTGTCACTGAATATATCTTCCTGCTTAAAGCCTTCATTTTGAAAACCGTCTTCTCAGGAAAAGTACC